GCTGTTGATACTTGTAGTTCTCCCATTCACAAAACTTGAATGAATGATGTGGTTTAACTGAAAAAAAAGTTCATTCTATTGGTCTCAACTTCCTCCTAATTCCCTTTTTTTTTTTTTGCTGCTGTGGTCTGACTTCCTGTTAGAGGATGGCTATGGTCCTTCTTCATGGTCCTACTGTAGGTAGGAATGTAGCCACCCTCTCTTGTTTACTCCTGAAATGGTCTATTGGATGTGTAGTGTCCACATAGCAGTGTACATGGCCACGACTAATGTGAGAGGGAATAGGAGAGGTTTAGGAGCTTGCAGAGGACTTTACAAAGAGGCAGAAAAATACAGTAAGGATACGTTCACATTAGCTTTTTTAGCAGGTGTTAGGGAAGCGTTTTTTAATGAAAATTCTACACATGGCAGCACACAGTGCTGTTCACACTGAAGCATTAGCGTCGCAGCAAAATTAATCCCTCGTGTCGAGTCAGGAGGCGTTGAAGCCTCCCATTCAAGTCTATGGTGTTAGAAATTAGTCAAGTTTTTGAACGGGCCCTAACACTTGCCAAACACCCCTATAGCGTATTTAAGGCTTCTCAACATCCTATGCATGTTTTTAAGGCATTTACAAGGCGTGTGTGGAGCGTTAATACCATTAAACTTCATTATAGGCATTTGTGGTGCAGTTTTAATGCTTGGCAAATGCCTTCCAGGTGTTTGAGGAGCGTCACCATAGAATTGAATGGGAGGCTTCAATGCCTCCTGAGTCAACATGAGAATTGTGCCGCAACGCTAACACTGTGTGCTGCCATGTGTAGAATTTTCATAGGCGTTTGAGGAGCATTAAAAACGCTTCCCCAATGCCTAACGCCTGCTAACAAACCTTGTGCGAACTTAGCCTTAGGGAAGTGTTTTTAATGCTTCTCAAATACCTATGAAAATTCTACACATGGCAGCACACAGTGTTGTTCACACTGAAGCGTTAGCGTCGCGGCAAAATTAACACCTCATGTCCAGTCAGGAGGCATGGAAAGCCTCCCATTCATGTCTATGATGACGCTCCTCAAATGTCTGGCAGGCGTTTGCGGAGCGTTAATACTAGAGATGAGCGAAGTATTCAAAAATTCGATTCGGCTGATTCGGCGAATTAGAAGAATAAATTTGATTCGAGGCGAATATATTCGCTGCGAATTTAACATTAAAAAGGGTGTTTCTAGGCTTCAGAGAGCCTTTATATTAGTGCAGAACACTGTACCTTTAATTTAAATGCCCTTGGAGTCTGCTGGGGAAGAGAAATAATACTGTCAGTCAGTATGACATGCAGATGAGTGCCGTCGATCTTAGAATCACCGCACACTTCACTCATTTGGGCAGTCACGGGGCCAAAACCAGAGTGTGGAGCCACAGTGTGGCGGTGGAGGCAGCAGCAATGGGAGGCCATACAGCACCCTATGACAAAATGGAACCCACCAGCAGTGTGAGGAGACCTGAAAGTGGCACATGGCAGAGTGTGGCGATGGAGACAGCAGCAATGGAAGGCCGTACAGGGACCCATGAGACACTCTGGACCTGGCAGCAGCATAAGGAGGCGGTACAGGGGCCCATGACAGATTACGGGCATGGCAGCAGCATGAGGAGTCGGTACGGGGGCCCATGGCAGATTACGGGCCTGGCAGCAGCAATGGGAGGCCCGTAATCTGCCAGCACCCTATGACAAAATGGAACCCACCAGCAGTGTGAGGAGACCTGAAAGTGGCACATGGCAGAGTGTGGCGATGGAGACAGCAGCAATGGGAGGCCGTACAGGGACCCATGAGACACTCTGGACCTGGCAGCAGCATGAGGAGGCGGTACAGGGGCCCATGACAGATTACGGGCCTGGCAGCAGCATGAGGAGTCGGTACGGGGGCCCATGGCAGATTACGGGCCTGGCAGCAGCAATGGGAGGCCATACAGCACCCTATGACAAAATGGAACCCACCAGCAGTGTGAGGAGACCTGAAAGTGGCACATGGCAGAGTGTGGCGATGGAGACAGCAGCAAGCAATGGGAGGCCGTACAGGGACCCATGACACACTCTGGACCTGGCAGCAGCAAGAGGAGGCGGTACAGGGGCCCATGGCAGAGTGGCGAAGCGTAAGCAGCTTAAACTGAAGGCCATACAGAGGCCTATGTTAAAAATAATAACATGTTTGGGGCATGATTCATGGCAGATTTAGTCAGTTGTGTCAGGAACTGGTGGTTTGAAATCCAGACTAATCCACGCCTGATTCATTTTCACAAACGTGAGTCTCTCCACACTTTGGGTGGACAGTCGTGTCCTCCGCGGAGTTACAATACCTCCTGCCGCACTAAACACGCGCTCCGATGCCACGCTACTGGCCGGGCATGACAGCCTTTCAAGGGCAAATTCAGCTAGTTGGGGCCAAAGGTCAAGTTTCGTTGCCCAGTAGTCAAGGGGATTGTCTACCTTGGTTGGCAGGGTGCTGTCCAAGTAGGCCCAAGCCTGTTGTTTGAGGTCCTGCTCCAGGTCCACCTGATGCTGCTGCTGCTGCGGCTGGTTAGTAGTTTCCTCACTGCGCTGGTGAAGAAAGCTACTCATCATTGACTGCAGACTGAGGCAGCCGCTGCTGGTGGAGCTGCCACTGCTCCTACCACCCCACCCCTCCCCTGCTGCCATGGCAGCGGAACGCGAGCGCACAGGGCCCACAGTGTCTGAGGATGGACGTTGGCGCAGAAAGGCAGAGACCAACTGACTACATAGGTGGTTTTTATAGTACTTTATTTTGGCCTCCCTCTCAGCAGGTGTGAAAAAGGCCACCATTTTTGAACGGTAGCGAGGGTCCAACAAGGTGGACAGCCAAAAGTCATCCCTCTGTCTGATGGTTATTATTCGGCTGTCGCTACGCAAGCAACCGAGCATGCTATGGGCCATTTGTGCCAAGGAAATGCGAGGGACTCCCTGCCTCCATCTCCACAGCATACTGCCACGGTGCGTCTGGGTCCTCTGTCTCCTCCTCCTCTACCAGATGCTCCTGCTCCTCCACTCTCCTGTCCGCTGAGTGGAAAAACCACCCATTTCACTCAATAATTCCTGAGCACCAATGTCCTCCTCTACCTCCTCCTCTTCTTCCTGTCCTGCCCCCACAGGGGTCATGTGGCGTTGAGATCTGTGCGCCACGTCTACCGCACCCTGACCAGCCATTGTTAACAGCATTTGTTCCAGGACGTGCAACAGAGGAATGACGTCGTTCATCCCATAGTCCTGCCGACTCACGAATAGCGTGGCCTCCTCAAAGGGCCTGAGCAAGCGGCAGGTGTCACGCATGAGCTGCCAATGGCTGACATCTAAGTTACACAGGGGAGTACCTTTATCCGCCTGTAACATCAGGAAATCGGTGATGGCCTTTCGCTGTTCGTAAAGGCGGTTAACATATGTAGGGTTGAATTCCACCTTGTTGCAACGTCACAGCATGAGGAGTCGGTACGGGGGCCATGGCAGATTACGGGCCTGGCAGCAGCAATGGGAGGCCCGTAATCTGCCAGCACCCTATGACAAAATGGAACCCACCAGCAGTGTGAGGAGACCTGAAAGTGGCACATGGCAGAGTGTGGCGATGGAGACAGCAGCAATGGGAGGCCGTACAGGGACCCATGAGACACTCTGGACCTGGCAGCAGCATGAGGAGGCGGTACGGGGGCCCATGGCAGATTATGGGCCTGGCAGCAGCAATGGGAGGCCCGTAATCTGCCAGCACCCTATGACAAAATGGAACCCACCAGCAGTGTGAGGAGACCTGAAAGTGGCACATGGCAGAGTGTGGCGATGGAGACAGCAGCAATGGGAGGCCGTACAGGGACCCATGAGACACTCTGGACCTGGCAGCAGCATGAGAAGTCGGTACGGGGGCCCATGGCAGATTATGGGCCTGGCAGCAGCAATGGGAGGCCCGTAATCTGCCAGCACCCTATGACAAAATGGAACCCACCAGCAGTGTGAGGAGACCTGAAAGTGGCACATGGCAGAGTGTGGCGATGGAGACAGCAGCAATGGAGGCCGTACAGGGACCCATGACAGATTACGGGCCTGGCAGCCGCATGAGGAGGCGGTACAGGGGCCCATGGCAGATTACCGGCCTGGCAGCAGCAATGGGAGGCCCGTAATCTGCCAGCACCCTCTGACAAAATGGAACCCACCAGCAGTGTGAGGAGACCTGAAAGTGGCACATGGCAGAGTGTGGCGATGGAGACAGCAGCAATGGGAGGCCGTACAGGGACCCATGAGACACTCTTGACCTGGCAGCAGCATGAGGAGGCGGTATGGGGGCCCATGGCAGATTACGGGCCTGGCAGCAGCAATGGGAGGCCCGTAATCTGCCAGCACCCTATGACAAAATGGAACCCACCAGCAGTGTGAGGAGACCTGAAAGTGGCACATGGCAGAGTGTGGCGATGGAGACAGCAGCAATGGGAGGCCGTACAGGGACCCATGACAGATTACGGGCCTGGCAGCAGCATGAGGAGGCGGTACAGGGGCCCATGACAGATTACGGGCCTGGCAGCAGCAATGGGAGGCCCGTAATCTGCCAGCACCCTATGACAAAATGGAACCCACCAGCAGTGTGAGGAGACCTGAAAGTGGCACATGGCAGAGTGTGGCGATGGAGACAGCAGCAATGGGAGGCCGTACAGGGACCCATGACAGATTACGGGCCTGGCAGCCGCATGAGGAGTCGGTACGGGGGCCCATGGCAGATTACGGGCCTGGCAGCAGCAATGGGAGGCCCGTAATCTGCCAGCACCCTATGACAAAATGGAACCCACCAGCAGTGTGAGGAGACCTGAAAGTGGCACATGGCAGAGTGTGGCGATGGAGACAGCAGCAATGGGAGGCCGTACAGGGACCCATGACAGATTACGGGCCTGGCAGCCGCATGAGGAGTCGGTACGGGGGCCCATGGCAGATTACGGGCCTGGCAGCAGCAATGGGAGGCCCGTAATCTGCCAGCACCCTATGACAAAATGGAACCCACCAGCAGTGTGAGGAGACCTGAAAGTGGCACATGGCAGAGTGTGGCGATGGAGACAGCAGCAATGGGAGGCCGTACAGGGACCCATGACAGATTACGGGCCTGGCAGCCGCATGAGGAGTCGGTACGGGGGCCCATGGCAGATTACCGGCCTGGCAGCAGCAATGGGAGGCCCGTAATCTGCCAGCACCCTATGACAAAATGGAACCCACCAGTAGTGTGAGGAGACCTGAAAGTGGCACATGGCAGAGTGTGGCGATGGAGACATGGGCCCCCTGGCCACGCTTGACTTTCTGGCCACATAGTCGACATACGGCTACGTTTACTTCCTCGGGCGGCTTGACGAAAAATTGCCACACCGCCGAGTAGGAAACTTTGCCCCCTACTCCTCACTGGCTGACTGCTACTTCCTCCGTGCACACCGGCACCACTACTGGCCGTGGTGGTAGGCTGCAGTGGAGCTGGTGCTCTTCTCCGTGGCCGTTTGCCTCCACTGACACTGCTGCGACCCTGCTGCCTCCTGGGCAACCCACCGACTGTTTTGCTCGCTGCCAAGCTGGCACCCTCTTCTCCTGATGATGCGGAAGCAATAGCCTGATGACGACGAGGCTGCCAAGTGCGATCAGCCTCATCATCATCAATTAGGGTCTCCGCCTCACTACTAGCCCCCTCGGCTGCGTGTGGGTCAGGAGACAGACCTGTCTCTAGACCGGCTACCGAGCCACTCTCCTCGCCAGTACTTCTTCGCCTGGCTGCTGAAGAGGCGGATGTCTCCCCCCGTTCCTGACCGCCCTCTGTTAGCTCTTCCTCACTGTACAGTGGGGCTGAGCCCACAGCATGCGATACTTCGCTTGGTGAGGGAACACCAAAGGACAGGGGTAGGTAGAGGACACGTGATTTCAGTGGGCTTGCTTCCGGGCCATGCCAACTAACGGTTGTGTCTGACGTACCCAACGACCGTTGGCTGTAGGTGTCAGAGGTGACCTGGGAAGAGGAAGACGACCGAGCCAACCAATCGATGACGGCAGGGTTTTCGGTGGAGACACGACCGCTGCATGACGACGGGAGCACTGGCCTCTGGCTGCGACTAGTGCTGCCTTGACCCCTTCCTCTGCTGCCACGTCTGCTCGCTCCTGAAACATTGCCTCCTCTGCGTGTTGTCTGACATACTCTTTAATTCAACGATTCTGTGTCCCTGAGTAACGATTCTGTGTCTGTCCCTGAGTAACAATTCTGTGTCCCTCAGTAACAATTCTGTGTCCCTCAGTAACAATTCTGTGTCTGTCCCTGAGTAACAATTCTGTGTCCCTCAGTAACAATTCTGTGTCCCTCAGTAACAATTCTGTGTCCCTCAGTAACAATTCTGTGTCTGTCCCTGAGTAACAATTCTGTGTCCCTGAGTAACAATTCTGTGTCCCTCAGTAACAATTCTGTGTCCCTCAGTAACAATTCTGTGTCTGTCTGTCAGGGATCCTACAGCGGTAGCCTCTAGCACTCCACAGACCGGATTCCCCCAAGGCGCGGAATCTAAGTCCCTACCTGCTTGTTCACCAGGGCCCCTGATGGTGGGGATGGACTTGGAGCAGGCCGAGACCAGGTCGCGGCCCTTGAGTTCACCCAGCTGTGGTAGAAGCACCGTTGGAGGTGTATAGCAGGTGAGAGTCTGATGTGAGGAGGTCACAAGAGCAGCATCAGGCAGGCTGGGTTGGTAACAGTGGTGGCAGCGTGGTACAAAGTCAGCAGGCAGAGGAATAAACTGGTCACAAGCCGGGTTCGTTAACAGGAGATCAGAACGTGCAGGGTTAAGCAGGAGAATGGTCAGACAAGCCAGGGATCAGAGCAGGAGAAGACAGCAGTATCAGGAACAGGCTGGGTCGGCAACAAGGTATTCAGGAACACTGGATCAAACAGGAACACAGGTAACAGGTAAGACCATACGGCACTTGAGCATTGCAGGAGCTGGGTTTAAATAGGCCGCCCAACTCCTGACAGGCGCTCCTGGGTCCTAGTGCCTGCCCGGCGCCGTCATCGGTGACAGGGGCGCCTGGGTCCTAGTGCCTGCCTGCCTGTATGTCTTGTCAGGATTCTACGCATGTGCAGATTCGATCGCCGAGGCGATCTTCCCATTCCCTGACATTGCCCCCCCCCTTACGGGCAGCCTCCGGATGCCCACCCGATTCCTCCTTTGTGGCTGGCTATGACGGAATTCTCGTACTAATCTGGGGGCATGGACATTCTGGGCTGGTTCCCACGAATTCTCCTCCGGCCCAAAGCCTTTCCACTTGATCAGGTATTGTACCTGACCACCCCTCTTCCTACAATCCAAAATTGCCTCCACCTCGAATTCCTCCTCCCCGTTGATATCTATAGCTTCTGGAGGTCTAGACCTGCGGTCTAAAAAGGGGTCTGGAACTGCAGGTTTTAATAATGATACGTGGAAGACTGGATGTATTTTGAGGGACTCGGGGAGAGTCAGTTTAAATGCCACTTCATTAACCTTGCGTTCTACTGGGAAAGGTCCCACAAATTTGGTGCCAATTTTCTGGATGGGCATGTCAGTTTTAGGTTGGCTGTTGACAACCAAACCCGATCCCCAGGGTGTATGACCAATTCTCCCTTCCTCCTCCTGTCACAAAACCTCTTACTGTTTTCTTGGGCCTTAGCCATTGTTTCCTGTAATACCTTGTTATTGGTAGTAAAGAACTCTAAGGTGTCCTGGGCTGCCGGGACTGAGTTCTCAGGAACCAGGTCTGGCAGGAAGGTAGGATGGAACCCATAATTGGCAAAGAATGGGGATTGGTTGGTGGCGGAATGATTCACATTATTATATGCAAATTCTGCCATTGGTAGAAGTGTCAGCCAGTCATTCTGCAGGAATGATGTGTAGCATCTCAGATATTGCTCGAGAGTCTGATTGGTTCGTTCTGTCTGCCCGTTTGTCTGGGGGTGATATGCTGACGAAAAAGATAACTTAATCTCCAGCCCCTCACATAGCGCTTTCCAGAATTTGGACGTAAATTGCACCCCCCGGTCTGAGACAATCTCTCTTGGCACTCCGTGAAGCCTCACAATCTCTTTAATGAACACTTGGGCTGTTTCGGAGGCAGATGGTGTCTTGGCTAGTGGAAGGAAATGGGCCATTTTAGAAAGGCGATCCACTACCACAAAGATCACGGTGTGATCTTGCGAGGGTGGCAATTCTACAATAAAATCTAAGGAGATCATACTCCAGGGACGGTCAGGTATTGGTAAAGGTCTCAATAGGCCTCAGGCCTTGTCTCTGGTAGGTTTATTCCGGTTGCAGATGGGGCAAGATCTCACGTACGCTTCACAATCCTTGGCCATGTTTGGCCACCAAAATGTGCGTCGTGCCAGATCTATAGTCTTATGTATCCCAAAGTGCCCCGCTAGGGGATGGTCATGGCAGTAAGCTAACACCAGGGACTGGACCTCCTTGGGTACCATGATTTGTTCCCCCTTCCAGAAGAGTCCCTCCTTATTCAGTAGGGAGACTCCAGGCAGGTCAGAGACCCGGTGGAAGCAGCCTGCAATTTAGACAGCAGCTCAGATTGAAGCAGTAGGAAGCTACCTGCTGGCAGGATGGTGTCTGGCTGGGGGTTCTCTCCAGGGTCCTCAAACATCCGGGAAAGAGCATCTGGCTTAGTGTTTTTTGACCCAGGACGATACGTTATGTGGAGGTTAAACCTTGCAAAAAACAATACCCATCTGGCCTGGCGTGGACGGAGGCGTTTAGCGGTTTTCAAGTACTCGAGGTTTTTGTGGTCGGTATAGACCAGAATGGGATGTGGGCCCCCCTCTAGCAGATATCGCCATTCCTCCAGAGCGGTCTTAATGGCCAGTAATTCCCGATCCCCAATATCATAATTCCTTTCCGAAGGGGAGAGCTTCCTAGAAAAGAAAGCCACTGGGTGCATCAGCTCCTTGGCCCCTACCCTCTGTGATAACACTGCTCCTACAGCCACTTCCGATGCATCTACCTCTAGTATGTAGGGCAATGATGCATCAGGATGGTTCAGAATGGGAACCGTTGTGAATAGCTTTTTCAATGCCTCAAAAGCTGCCTGTGCTGCTGAGGTCCATTGGAAACGTACTCCCACTTTGGTGAGCTGAGTAATGGGTGCTACCAGGCCTGAAAAGTTCTTTATAAATTTTCTATAAAAATTGGCAAACCCAATAAACCTCTGGACGCCCTTCTTATCCGTGGGGGCAGGCCATTCCAGGATGGCCGAGATCTTTTGAGGGTCCATAGCGATCCCCGTGGTGGAGATAATTAGACCAAGAAATGAGATGCTTTTCTGTTCAAAACAGCATTTCTCAGCTTTAGCGTAGAGTCCATGCTGACGGAGACGTTCTAGCACACTCCTAACATGTCCCCGATGTGCTTCCAAAGACGAGGAGAATATCAAGATATCATCCAAGTAGACGATTACAGAAATGTCAAGGAAGTCCCTGAAAATGTCGTTGACAAAGTGCTGGAAGGTGGCTGGTGCATTACATAACCCGAAAGGCATGACTAGACACTCAAAATGCCCGAACCGAGTGCGAAACGCCGTTTTCCACTCATCCCCCTCACGTATCCTTACCAAGTTATAGGCACCCCTGAGATCCAGTTTAGAAAAAATGGATGCTGATTTTAACCTCTGAAACAACTCTGGAACCAAAGGAAGGGGGTAGCGGTTTTTGACCGTAATCTTGTTGAGGTCCCTGTAGTCAACACAAGGTCTCAGGGATCCGTCCTTTTTCTCGACAAAGAAAATCCCCGCCCCAGCCGGTGATGTGGAAGGGCGGATAAATCCCTTACGGAGGCTCTCATCAATGTATTCTTTTAGTGCCCCTAGTTCTCGCTCAGATAGTGGAAAAATGCGGCCAAAAAGGATTTCTGAACCTGGGAGCAGATCAATGGGGCAATCATATGCTCGATGTGGGGGAAGAACTTCTGCCCCCCGTGGACTAAATACATCCAAGAATTGGTGGTAGGCCGCAGGCACAATTTGGGCTAACTCGGCATCAGGGCTTACAGCCAGTAGGGCCTGTGTATTTAATGATAACTTAGATAAACAATGTTCCTGACAGTATTGTGAGGGAAACTGGACTGACCCGGTCTTCCAGTCAATCTGGGGGTCGTGAGCTCGTAGCCAGGGGAGCCCCAGAATAACTGGAAATAGGGGGGACGCGATGGCGTCCAAACGGAGGAACTCCTGGTGATGTCCCGCCACTGTGG